GTCTTAGGTCATGCTTCAATGATATCCCTTCCTTGTCTTGTATTTTCACGTCCCACTAAAAGAAGAGTTGCAACTGAACCCTGTTCAGGAGAGTAGAGATGCAATTTACACAGGAACTGGGAATAACACCTACACCGACTACTTCAAAAACAATATTTGCACACGCAATTTCATGCTGATCTATCGCAGCATGACTATCACCTGTTCCGGATGAAATACCATGTTGAAAAACGTTTACATTTAGCCCCTATCCTGTCGTTGTATAATTTTTGAACGTATATCCATTCACCGCTAGTCAACCCACGATCATATGCAAGTTATTTCTCAATATCAGGGAACTATTGGTCAGCGAGGTAACTCGTTCCACCTGCGCTTACTCCGTAACAGTGCTTCGGTAATTGGTAGCAGTTCCTAACTTAAGCGTTTTTGCCACTAACATTCAGGCTAGCGAATGTCATGTTTATCATTCGAAGATGGGAACAGGTCAAACCCATTGTGCCATAGTTATCCACGTTGTCGAATGTGACGCACCACTATCTTATCTTAAGATATTTCTAAGTACTCCTTCTTGAGTTATCAGATTTGGCGCTCCTTTTAAGGGTCACTTGAAAACTGAAACTTAGGTCGTTGTTTGAGAACCGTACATTAGCCTATACCAGACACAGACATGCTGGTAATTTCATCCAACATATGCCCGTTTTGGAGTTTCTCTCGGCTTTTGTTGGAATGATGTTTCACTGCAGCCCAAACCACTGTTATTTCAACATCCGATACTTAACCCCGAAGAGAGGAAATGACGATGTCTCTGGAATTACGAGCTGCTGTTCTAGTTGTTAGATTTGCGTAATAATTTCACTCTGCCTGTAGTGGACAACCTGTCTTCCTAAGGAACTAAAAACAATCACGGCCCAAACCAATTACTGTTTTTCTAATAAGTGTCTCGTACACCATGTATATCAGATCTTCCGCACAGTGGCTCTTTAAGCTAGCTGGCAAGTTGGCTATTAGCATTAGACATCCGATTGGGACTGGTCAGAGTAATGAATTTCTGTTCACTTTGCTTATAAAACAGAATGGAGCTTACACCACTGTTGACTATCCTTCAACTTTGTAGGAAATTCCTAATCCATGGCAGACCAGCTGTCAGTACATTCCTCCTTTGATCTATCGGCAATGCAGGTGCAACCAAAACAGACACTGTACCGCCTTCAACATTCAAACACATCTTCATCCTTCATATGTAATCAGCTTACACTGGAAGGCCAAAAGACTGCGCAGTTCCTCGTTTCTGCTGAATGTCAAGATCATTCCTCTCTGTACCGCCTTCAACATTCAAACACATCATCCTTCATATGTAATCAACTTACACTGGAAAGCCAAAAGATTGCGCAGTTCCTCGTTTCTCACAAAGCTCTGGAAACATTCCCACTCAAGAAAACCTTTGGGAACTGCGGTTCAGGTTCAAATGTTCGGCAGTCAACGTGACTAATTTATGCTTTATTAGAATGTAGTGCCACCCAGCCTCTAGCGGGGCAGCCCGAGCCAGATGTTCTGGTAACGACAGTAATGATGCTTAAGAACAACTGCTTTCTACTCAAATATGATGCATCTCTCACATGCTGACCGGACCAGGTTTCGGGTGACCATTTCTAACTAGTATGGGATTGCATAAGGCAACTGCCTGAAAGACTCGGCGCCCTCGGACTGCATATTTTGTCGTCCGTTATGTTCCTCTGTATGTGGTTTAAATTTGGTAGCCTGGCTAACAATTATCGCAGATAGTCTGCAAATCAAATGATCCTCAGTTTAAAAAGACAATTTACGGTAGCCTTCATAGACTTTAAAATTGACTCTGGAAATCTGAAGCTATGAAAGCAACCACTGGAAAATAGTTTTCTTTCAAACATGTCATTGCTTACTGTGCTCATCACACATGTCGTCAAATAATCAAACTGAGCTATAATTTGAAGCTCCGCGTTCAAGAACGTTCGTGAGTTCACACGCCGTTGACCTAAACGGTAATAAATTCTAACTCGTTTTGATTAAGGTCAGCAATTCAAAATCTCTGCACTAACAAAACCACCACTGATTGTGCCCTATCCTCAGTAGTTGGATAGGTATTCTGTGGCATTGACAGCTTCCTTTAGTTCAGGTCACATATCAGCAGCGAAAAACATCATACTTTTCTCCAAACTGCTCAGCGTTGTTATATAGTATTGATCCTTCCGCAAAAGTTTGGTTTACTAACTATGAAAGTGATACTCAAAATAGAAGTGAGTTGTTGGAATCATGACTATTATCTGAGATGCTGATCAGCACCGGTTTTCTATGTTCAACTTGAAGCATGGTCTTCATTAGGCGTGTCGTTATCACCCATTTTTCTTGAGATTCTGGCTTCTTGTCACAATACATTGGAGATGCTTCTATGACCCTATTCATCCAGCTCCATGGTTTTTTATCATGTGTAAACAGTCAATCCCTATGCAGTTCACAACTTTTACGCAGTGCTGAATGTGCTGAACACTTTGTGACTTGGTACTTAGACTTTTCATATTTCCATATTCTGGACAGAATATTTGATTGTGCAAAATTATATTAATATCTTTGGTGTTCTTGAGCACGTTTTGCATTATGAAGCAGCCCTGTAGTGTTAACTTCGTTTTGCTGGAACTGTTTAGCACACAAGTCAGATTTTTTCCGCTATTACTATGGAATTATTCCATATAAAACGGGACGCACCGCATACAGGTGGCTAATAACTGTGGCGGGAAGCTATTTTATTATCGGATAAGACTGGACTTTTTCAGTCCTGTTTTGAGGGTCCACACCATCCCTCCATTTTGAATGTGACATAATCTAGCTTTTTGCAATCTATAGAGCTTCAAAGCACCAATAAATCTTCCGTGAAACTCGGAACCTAGATTTATTGTACGCCATCCTGGGCCGGTAAGCATCGTGCGGGTTGTTAAGCAGCCGGTACCCTGAGGCTCGAGCTGCTCATCACACAAAACGTATTGATAAACATTGTTTCGGTATTTGGGGAATTCGACAACTTCTGACAGCATGCTTTCGAAAAAGTACACGATGGTTAGCTGCGTATAAATACTCAGTGATGAAACATTTATGTCAATTGACGATGTGGTTGAGGTTAGTAGAGGTGCTTGCACGGTCGAGCTTATGCGAAAATATGTCTGCAAGTGTATACGGATCCACCATGAAATTTGCACTGAATTCAACCACCGCATAGCTGTACAGCCAAGGTTTCCATCTTCTTCTATGCTGTTGTCGGCCGTTCACTCAGTGTCTTATTTACACCCATCAAATTTCGTTGTCAGCTCCTATGCATCAAATTAATTCCTTCTATTGATCGCTTCCCTATACTTAACAGTGGATTATTCCAAAGAACCCGCACTGGAAGTACAATTATGACTGCCTAAATTTTTGTTCTGAAGGGTCCTGTAAGCTCAGATAGTCAGGCTGTGCTGTGAGTGTCTGCTTGAGTGAACTGAGAACGAAGAAAAGAGCCGAGTGTTGAATCGAGCAAAACGTTTTATCTGAGGTTCACCATAGAATTCAGTCCGCTTGCAGAAAACAAGTGCCGTGAAACTGGGATATCCTGCAGAAGCTGCACAGCAACTAGCTCAGCTCAGCTTTGACTTCAGGAAGACCGACAAAAGGATCTACGGATTGTTTTTCTTCCAACTCTTTCAAAATTCTTCTATTTACAGCCACCTTAATGGTTAAATTTTAGATACTAAAGAGTACGCATTTGGTAGGACAAAGGTCCAGACACGGTTTGAATAAGTTTCGAATCTTCTGGCAGCTGATGTGAGTTAACGCATTTACTTACACAACGCTGTAAGGCTAAAACGAAGACCCCATTTCCTGAAAACAATCCACTCTATCCGCCAGCTTGAGGTCATTTGACATGGCAAAATGCACTCCAAGCCTGAGCAACATGCCTCCTTTCCTCCTTACCAGCCCCCGTCGGTTTGACACAGGATGGTCGTTCTCGTGATCTATTCGGGTTATTCTATTCAAGCATTTGCCTACAGGGGGGTGCCTCCGAAAAACGCCTCGGCAATAAAACAGACTGTGTAGATAGTTAGTTTTGGAGCTATCATATACATTTTCAGCATTTTAAATTCTTTTTTCACTTCACTGTTTCTCAAAGGTTAGAAAGGCATTCCAACGGTTCGACGGTCACGGAACTTCTCATGTGTTGGAATATGTGTGTGAACCTGGTACAGTTTGTTGCTGATAGTTCATTCCCGTTATGGCCTTAGGTGGCTAGGGATTAACTATGAGTCTATCTCTCAACATTTGCTCGCTGCTATCTATGTACAAAAAATTCAACGCAAAGATAACATCACCGTATCGACCTTGTTGGTAAGTACGAGCTTTTGAACAGAAACATATCATGGCCCATAATGATGGAGGATAAGACCGCGCAGAGCTAACCAACACAACCTCACAAACCACTTCATACTGCTTCACTTCAAGTGTCGATTATTTATTCCGTTTCGTAAGCCGATTACCTGCCAGTCTACGGGGGGTTAAAGAATTTCAGCGTCACAACAGTTGTTTTCCAGAGCAACCTTACACAGTACACCGGTTTTTAAATATGTAGGAATACTCTCCCCACAGTTAGATTCTAAAATTATTCCGCGAATATTGCACGTTGACAGCGCGGCAGCATAGAAGAGCGTTTCGAAATCCCTATTTTGGTTACCCCGTTTTCGTGAACAAGTTAATAAACACAAGTTTTCTCCAAAGATTTAGAGATTATTCGAATACTCCTTTTCGCCAGCTTTATGAGGCGAAGTCGATTACAGCGGCTGTTTTGAAATGCCATTGAAAAACGTTGCATCAAAATACTTTCCCAGGAAAGCTGGCTAAGCTGTGAACAGAACGCCACCCTCGTAGCTAAGTGAATGTGTATGGGTGAGCCTCGCGTATCTTGAGATAGCTCTTTAAAGTGATAATAATAAAAAAGATTTTCTGCCTATAAAATATTTTACTTACTTTCAAGTTAAAATTATAGAGATCTTGACTGCTAATTACTTACAACCAACCAACGTGTGCATCTGAAATTACTATTAAAAAATTCTGGTTTTTTTGAATATCACTGTACTTTCTCATGATGTGGTTCGATCCAATCGTCGTCGAATCGGTGTCTGCCACACCACGATGCTTTTTGAACCGTGTCGGAAGTGAAACGTTCGACGAACTGAATGTGTATGCGTCGTCCAATAAGATCCTTCAATGATAACCACTTGCCACGTTGACCCATACGCACGTTCGAGGCTTGATTTCAGTTTTTTGGATGCATCAGCCAATACTTCCGTGGGTGCGAAGTCGTCTAAGGGAATAAGTTGGTTGGACATGCGAACCACCCTGTTCTGCATAAATTCCTCCATCTGACTGTGAATTACCTCTATTGGTGCTATATTTCTACTTTCCAGAGGGCTGGCAAACAGGGCTCTCTCGAAGCTTTGTTCTAATTTTCTGCGGATGGATAAAAATTTTCAAAATCTATGAATTTTCATTTATGCACTCATCGCAAGACAAGCAAACTTGCGAAATGTAGTGAACAGTTTGACAGCACTGTGATAGAGAATATAATACATATCTGAATCTGGATGATGTCAAATAAATAAATGTGAATCGTAACGTGTAGCATGACTGACTTCATTTCTGTGACATGTCCCTGAGGATACATAAAACTGCTGCAAACACAAGGATGCCAGGCCACTGGATTTGCCAGGAGGCACTTGTACTTCGGGGTGGCTGTTACGCCATCTCAACAATAAACCAGACACAAACTGTACATGGCACTGCGATGATTTGCACAGCACATGCATTCAGTGTTTTCAAAGTATCATTTTTGCCATCATCAACCCGCATTTTTGAGAGGTTACGAATGTGATGTTACCGCACAGGTCGTTTCATTTGGCAGAAATGATCTAGAATATTCACATTCCAATTGTGAATTTAATAATGCCAATTTTAGTAGAATGAAAATGTACAGGTGTCACGTGATGAAAAACTGACGTCAAATCTTCACGAAATAAAACACGTTAGCTGAGCTAGAACACCTACTGACGTCTCAGATTATCATCGAAGGCTTAATTCGTAGCTTGGTGACCGTGGAACGAATGTAGTGTTTTTACTGTGAGCACACTTAGTTACATGAAATTAGCACCACTTTTGCTCAGTTAACTCAATACGTTTCTGTCAAAGGCAGACATTTTCATGTTAGGGGGAATACTTTTTGAATAGTAAAAGGTTAAATATGAGGTGTGAACTAGCCTAACCAAACGCATATATAAGCGGAAATCATTCTTACACTCACTTTCTACCGGAAATGAGGACGTTTCCTTGGTTCTCTGAAATTTTACATCTTTTCCGGTAGGTATAACATAGAAAAATGAGGGCAGTTGGGTCGTTTTTCAGACATTACTTAGTTTTCTCCATGAAAAACCATTTCACTGCAGTTAGCATCGGTTCTCGTCCATTTTTCTCATTTACACAGCATGTAAATCAACGAAAAGATGAAGCAACGTATAGTATACACTGCATTGTCCAAAGCGCTCACCTGGCGAACAAAATGATGAATCAATGGCACTATGAAATAACGGTGGGGCTAGTACGGAAATACAAGTGTGAAATGAGTAGCCAATTACTTGGAGCCACTGAGCCGCTACTGGACGACTGTACATCTGGTCTATTGGAGAGATAAAATTCATGATCGTACACAATCGGCTCTGTTTGGCTGGAGTGATTCTTTTGTTTTCATACGCAATCTTTGCATCTCATGGTCTTGAGCATTTCACAATACGAATACGCCCCGAGACAGTGGCTGACTGTTCCATCGTTATCAAGACAGCGACCTGTCAATGCAATTTCACAATCAGCCGATCGAGGAGGTTTTAACCTTTAGACAACAGGTTTCAGTTTGGAACGATACAGCTGCAGATCGGAATTAGTCGATACTAATTAACTCGACACTCTTCTCGCTTACATTTACTTCATTTCTGTTGTTAACTCTGGGTAGATTTTTTGCTTAAATGTGTGTTAATATGCACCCTCCGCTTTTCTACAAAGAGAAAAACTGTCAGATAACGTGTCCTGCGCAGATACCACCCACCATGTTGGGAAAAGCTTAAATTGTTACTTGTTATGGATGTTGACAGAACTGATGATACCTCGCTGAACTGGACAATGGCTACTGAACACAATCCGACGAGGCTTGTAAAACCTCCTTCCAAAAGAACAATTACACACTAAGTGGTAATACTTTTCCTTGGAGTTCCCCTGTTTATTTAATTTTGCATTTGAACGTGCCCTTAGATGAGTGCAGTGCCGCATTCCGACAAACTGGTGACAGACTGAGGAGTAAACACGAATTGCACTTCAAACGGATCCAGTTTGTCTCACAAAAGTGTAGTCGAATGGTTACATAGGGGACAAATAAATTCACTACGGTCACTTCGCCGTACGCCAACGTAGTTTAAACCATTTTGCCGTCGGGCTAATCGGTCACGAGCTAACTTAACGTCAAACCTTCTAGATTCATGATACTCGAGCATTTTTCATGAGCTTAGGCTTGCATCCGAGCTAGAATCAAATCAGGGCATTGTCTTGAGGTCCATTCCCAGAGCCGGATGTAGGTACTATCTAATAGTGATGGGCAGACGTATCTTAAAATCTTGCGCACACTTAAAGAACTGCTCTAGTGATGTCCATCTTCCGTACTTTCTTACTCACAGGAAGCAATCAAATCGTTTGACAATTTGCCGTAAATAATAATAATAATAACAGTACGCTTCACCATGTTATGCAATTTTAAGAATCGTCAGCAAAAGTTTACCCGCCTTCCGTACCCCTTTGTTCTCCTGACATTTTAATCACTGGTTTGTTGGACCTTGACGCTGCAAATGGCCATGCACAACTGTTCTCTGGAATGACCTGAGTGCAATAAGTCAAGACCGGAATTCGTGTTCTTATGTCACTAGACTCCAGTAATTCAAAAGTACAGTTTCTCTGACCCTGTCAGCATGAATAATCTCCCAAAACAAGCTTCACTATTTTTATTGTCCATCCGGTAGTGTTAAATTCTATAAGGGCTTAGTATCGGTATCACGACCGAATAACTCCGATAGAAGACCAAAGCGCGCCATCCAACATTTATCTACCTGCGAATCTCCAGTTAGATGGACAAGTGTCTCCCCTCTGGAAACACCGTACCACACTACGGGGAGATGTTTGGGTGTCAGCTACGAGCGCAATGGAACACTCTTCTCCAACGCTTTTCTTACACGTTAAAGGAGGATGCTACCAGCAGTTTTCTACAATCTCCATGTACATTGCTCCGTCAAAGTATTTCGTTACTGATTCTACGTCTGATCGGACTCGCGATGTGATTACACACTAAGACCCAATCTATCGAACTCGTATGTCAAAACACGTCCTAAAGACCTAGTTACAGAAGAAATCGTGCAGTAGTTTTGTTGAACGATTTAGTAGGAGAGTGGTGTGGTGATGAAACGACTCCCGGCACATAAGTCCTGCAAAGACACGGCTCAAAGAAGCCAGTCCGGTGAGAAATTGCCCTAACTTGCTAACAACTAACTGCATTAAATTTTAGCTTACACATCATACTAGGACATTTCAGAGACCGACCAATAAACATTATGACGGTGGTGTAGTTTTTTGTGGGCCTACAGGTCCTAGCTAGCGTGCGAGGTTCTGTCTCCGGGTTTTTATACTTGAGCATTGTGCGTGGAGCCAAACCAACTCGTCACACTAATTCCATACTACACTTTGCCCCAAGAGTTTTGAAAAGTGGACTACTGAAACACCAGAAATACGATACAGACCAATCAAAGTTCAGCCGATTCTTGGAGCAGGAGACAGGTTAATATTGATCTGAGTACTCAACATCATACTAAACTCAGCTAACTGTTACTTTGGCAAAGAGTAGAGAGAAATTAGGACCCGACAGAAGATCACCGTGCTCTCTTATTACAAGCTTTTCAAAAAAAGAAGTAGTTGATCAATATGGGGCACCGAGGTGTGGCTAATCATTATCCGATCTTACCCACAGTTTATTTGTTTGCTGAAGCAAAGCCGTGCCCCCCCCCATCAGGAATAAGAAGGCCTCGCCAAGAGACAGAGCTGGCTGCAAAGGACGAGAGTATGTGCGGAAGCCAAATGGCAAGGAGTTGTGACTAGAACACCATAATCTCCGGCAAAATTCCACAGAACAGAGTAGTGTGGTCAAAAGCTAAATGAGGTGAATGCAATTGTCAAACGTCAGTTTATCTGCGCTAAGATTATAATCACATTAGGACACTTGCTGGCGACAAACATGAGCTTAAATGTAACGGGAACCAGCTGACATGGCAACTCACCCAAGAGCACACGTGCAGTTATTTTGACCTAAAGGTATGCACAACATTGATGGAGGTATCCTCTTTTTCAGATTTGCGTGAATAAACAGCTTATGATAAATGTAGAAAGAGCCTTTCAATAGGAATCCTACTGTAGATTTGAGTTTCAGGAATGAATACGGCTGCATGAGAGATAGGTTGAAAAATATTCTGTAGTCTTGGTATCACCCGTTTAGAAGGCTTTAAAAACTAAAGACGTAGGTTTGCTTACTTGAAAAATCCACCAAAATCATGTCATATAGCGTTGAAATTTAATATACCACTTAGGCTTGTGATAACTCTATCGATTTCCCCTCAGTTCTTTGGCCTTAAATAACGAAATTCCGAAAAGACCGGTGGACCGTGTAGCGATATAGTAGTTCGGGGTTCGCCTGCCGAACCCTGACACAGTGTTATGTCTCAAGTTGATAAATCTCTGAGGACAGTGAATTCGTTGGACGTCAATCAAGAGGAGTTAAAAATTTTCATCGTGAGATTCTCTTATCAGGTTGTGGTAGAAGAGGTAACCGGCTCGACACAAAATGCACAACAGTATGTCTGTTTAGCATGTACCAGTCCCCGCTCATATGCAGTCAACTGCTAGGCCTCTATCCCCCGTAGATTAAACGCACTATGGTTAGAAATTTAAGCATAGTGAGTTGGAGAGTGGCACAGCGAACAGTGGTTAACCAACGTCAGACGTCATGACAACAGGGTTTTCTCAGGCGAAGAATCATTTCACGAGATGTGTAGCAATTTCATTTGGAACGTCGCTACTCGAGGAGGTAGTCAGTACGTGACCACGTGGTGTGGTCTCTGAGATTAGAGGTGAGAGCTGATCACACTACAGTTCAGTCTCTTGTAATTTCGTTTAGGGTCGAATAAACCATTTGAAAAGTAAATGTTAATAAAGAAGAAACTAGGGTATAAAACCACTTAGTTGTTTGCCTTGATTTTGCGAACCATGTCGTACAATTATGTGCGTACTTTCGTATTAACTGTGTGGGTTGAAAACTCATGTCATTGCTGGACAAGTCTCGGTACTGATCCACTGCAAGCTGTGTTTGAATATGA